ACACACACACACACACACACACACACACACACCCCTTTAATGGACTGGGCTGGTTTAGTGGTTAAGACTTTGTTGTAGTTAGGATCAGGTTTAGGTTAAGTTAAGGGTGAGGCATTTAGTTTGATGGTTGGGGACGAGGGAGAGCATTATGCAAACGTGTGTGTGTGTGTGTGTGTGTGTGTGTGTGTGTGTGTGTGTGTGTGTGTGTGTGTGTGTGGCAGCAGCGTCATGTTGGCCAGGAAGGGTCTCCTGCCGGACGGCTTCCTGCTGACCCGTCTGGCTGAGGACCAGAACCAGCCGAACCGCAGCCGGTCTCGATCTCAGCGAGCTCGCTTCATCACCAAGACTGGATCCTGCAACGTGGCTCACAAGAACATCATGGAGCAGGTACGTCACTTTCATGAGCGTCATCGTGTTTGGCTCAGTGACACAATCTCAAACGACTTCAAACGTCTGGGTTCAGCTTCTTGAACATGACGACTTCTTGCTTTACCTGTAAAAGTAGTTTGAAATGTAATATTTGTGGGGGTGGGGCTGTTGTTTGTACAAAACAAGAAGAGTTCCTACATCAACAGTGAGGCCCCGCCCACTTTACATACCTTGGTCCTCGTGGTGGCTTTCAGGGTCGGTTCCTGCAGGACGTCTTCACCACCATGGTGGACCTGAAGTGGCAGCACTCCCTCCTCATCTTCACTTCGGCCTTCCTCTGTTCCTGGATGCTCTTCGCCATGATCTGGTGGCTCTTGGCCTTTGCCCATGGAGACCTGGAGCCACGTGACCCTGACGGCGAGCCGGGCCCCGTCCCCTGCGTCACCGCCATCCACTCCTTCACCTCCGCCTTCCTCTTCTCCATTGAAGTCCAGGTGAGAGCTGTTGTTGGCGTCACCGACTGACCCGGGTGTATCGATCTGTCTCGTTAGCTGTCTTCCGTTCTCCGCAGGTGACCATCGGTTTCGGAGGCAGGATGGTGACGGAGGAGTGTCCCCTGGCCATCACCGTGTTGATCATCCAGAACATTCTGGGGCTCATCATCAACGCTGTAATGCTTGGCTGCGTCTTCATGAAGACAGCTCAGGCCAACCGCCGCGCAGAGACACTCATCTTCTCCAGAAATGCCGTCATCGCACCTCGAAACGGTCGGCCGACCTTCATGTTCAGAGTCGGAGACCTGAGGAAGAGTATGATCATCTCTGCCACTGTCCAGCTGCAGGTAAGAGCTTTCAGCCTTGGTCTTCATCATCAGCTGCAGGATACTGAGCAGGTCCTGGTCCAGACATCATGTCTCACTGCAGGAGATAAAACCATGTGCACTGATGCTTCTGAAGTCAGACTGAGATTCGTTGGTCCACAGGAAGCAAAGGTTTTCTTCTTCTCCTCACTCGCATGTATGTGGCCCTGGGCCCTAAAACCGAGGTTTTTCCCTGCAGGTGATCCGACGGACGGTCACGGCGGAGGGCGAGGTGATCCCTGTGTGTCAGCTGGACATCCAGGTGGAGAATCCTCTGAGGAGCAATGGCATCTTCCTGGTTTCTCCTCTGATCATCAGCCACACCATGGAGAGAGGGAGCCCCCTCTACGAGCTGTCCGCCCAGTCGCTGGCGGGAGAGGACCTGGAGATCATCGTCATCCTGGAAGGTCGGGAGCTCACCCAGATCCAAGTGACGTCACAGTGACACCTGTCCGTCACTGCGGAGGATCTGCTGATGTCCACTTTTTTCAGCACGGATGAAGCAGAATTAGAAGTTTGTAAAACAGCAGCTGAGCGTGACGCAGGGTTCAGCACCAACTCTTCTTCTCTGTCTTTCTTTAGGCGTAGTGGAGACCACAGGGATCACCATGCAGGCTCGCACCTCCTACACCCCCGAGGAGATCCTGTGGGGGAGGCGCTTCGTCTCCATCATAACGGAGGAGGAAGGTCGCCACTGCGTTGACTACTCCAAGTTCGGCAACACGGTCCCCGTCCGGATGTCGTCTCTCAGCGCCAAGGAGCTGGACCAAACCAGAGGCGTCCAGGAGGGGGGGTCCGAGACACAGCTGCAGGGGTGGGGGTTGGTTCGAGCTGGCAGAGGAGGTTTCCGCAGAGGAGGCAGAGCCTGCGACAGCTCCGCCCCTCAGCCATGGTATGCCCAATCAGATAAACCGGAGAGAGTGGCGGAGCAGAATGGACAAAAGAAGACGGTGCAGCTGGAGGTCATCGGACGACAGATGGAAGAGGACAGACTGGGAGACACGAGTGACTGAAACAGTCCCAGGACAAAATGTCAACAAACACAATCATCTGATGGACCCTGATGCCCTGAATGAACGATGGTGTATAAACAATAGATACAAGATAAATATAAATGTACGATGAATATAAGATTATTTCATAGGCTTTTACTTGATTAAGTTATTTTCTTCTAAATATGATCGGAGACGATGCTGATGACTTTGAGTGACTGTGATTAAACTTCGATCCTCCGTGTTGTGGAAACTGTTCTGATCGATGGTCACCTCGTCAGTGAAGACAGAGTTCAGGAGTCTTTTAACGTCTGGTGCTGAAATATTTCTTGAAGCTTRACGAGGAGGAAATCAGAATTCATCCACACAACATCTGAGCATGAAGCTCTCTCACACTCTGAAGTCTGCTGCTGCCGTCACACTCCAACAGATCATTTCATCTGTGGTCTGCTCGTTCCTCTCAAGTGTAGCTTCTGGTTCTGGAGACAGTGTCTGGTCACAGTCTCGTATCTGTGATGTCCAGGGAGGGAAGCCTTTGACCTTCACCAAGCTCTCACACTTCTCAAACAGCCTGTTGCCCCAGAGAGGACACCATGAGAGGACACGAGACAGTGTCTACGACAAGACAGTCGGGATGAGACGTAAAGTTAGTGCTGTTGTTGTTGTTGTTGTTGTTGTTGTTGTTGTTGTGTTTCCTCCTCCGATATAGTTTCACATAAACTGTAACATTTGCTCATGAGTCATAATGAATATTATTAATAATGTATGAAAATATGTATATCAGACCAGTGTGTCACTCCTTCTATTCACGTTGTGAAAAGTCTGCCAGACATTTTATTATTATTTAATTATTATCAGGAAACAGATAAGAAAGAAAAAAGGAGTCAGACAGGCCAGCAGTGCAGAACATGTCAACAGCAAACATCAGCCAGATCAGACAGCAGATCCAAAACGGCATGAAGAGATGAACGGACATCAGGACAGTTAGCAAGGCCAAGAACAGTTAGCATGGCCAGGAACAGTTAGCAAGGCCAAGAACAGTTAGCA